AAGCTTTTATTCCGAACCTTCGCTGTTGAGCGCAGCTGATATTTGCGTGAACATCTTTCTATTATTAAAGAATTGTTTTAATGGTCCATTTCCACTGTTAAATAAGGTGAGGTTGATAATGGCTAAAGATGTGTAGGTATGATGAAACAGATAGAAAATTTCGATCAGCCTAAAATATATTTAAAAAATAGAATATCTGGGCTACTTGTGTTTCTTTCCTACGAGATGATCATCAAGACACATTCCTTATAATTATAAAATCCGGCCATTGCTTTATCATTTTAAATATATAATGAACACATATTTTAAATATGAACGCCATTATTTAATTTTAATAGATTTTGTTACTTTTCTCCTGCAAGGCCGACAGATAAATATTTTTTGCTCTTTCAAAAATATAAAATAAATGTAAATTGCGTGACAACCTATGCTTTACCCTCGAGTGATTCGAATTAATATTTGCCTATTATTTCATTCCACAATTTCTTTTTATATATATTTTCAGTGGTCATAGTTGAGATTTATTTTCATATATATATATATATATATATATATATATATATATAATGAAATGGACAAGTCCGACAATTATTTTAAGACATTTTAGGTTTATACATTCTTTTTTATAGATACAAATATTTAAGTACATTATCTGTTTTATATAACACAGTATTAAACAATATTTACCGGCCTGAATGTCCGAGAAATTCTCATAGAAAATATTTGTCCTCCGACAGGAATTTCTCGGATATTCAGGTCGGTAAATGTAGTTTAATACTGTTTATTATAAAACCGAACATTTACTTAAATATTTGTGTCTATAAAAACAATCTATAAACATAAAAATGTCTTAAAATACAGACATATATATATATATATATATATATATATGTGTGTGTGTGTGTGTGTATGTATGTATGTATGTATGTATGTATAGACACGTGGATGTCAGTTTATGATCTAGCGTTCTTCTGAAGATCACAAAGGGCGTGTAACCCAGGGTCACAAACACATATCTACGCAGCAGAATATGTTAGTTCTATTACTGATATTAAACACTTTCCAATAAGTACCGTGCATATATAATATATAAATAATATATATAGGAATTGCATATATATATATATATATATATATATATATATATATATATATAATTTTGCTTCCCAGTCAACTTTGATTTTCAAAAATTTAAGTGCAATGTCAATCATTATCTTCCGTTTTCTTAATTGTTGCTCTTTTATTTTCCTATAATCTCAAGAGTTGAGAAAGGACGAATTTTTTTCAATTTCCCACTAGTCTAAACAATCTGAAGATTATTCTCAAAGTTACAAATTAAGAAAATATATTAATGAAAACAAAAATAAAAATATTAAGCTGTTACGTGATATCTGTTCTTCTTTAGGGCAGCCAATGTTGGACGATTTCCTCAAAGATGAAAAAGAGACTAGAGGGGAACGATATGTGTTCCTACAGAAGGATATCATGGACCCATCATGTGAGCAACGATGAGGTCTTAGAGAGGTTACAGACAAGGGAAAGGCTTATACTTAACATCAGAAAGAGGCAGCTGAAGTTTCTGGGACACATAATGAGAAAAGAGGGTATGGAGAATCTAATACTCACGAATCAAATAGAGGGAAAGAGAGACAAGGGAAAGCAACGTGTGACATATCTGACGAACTTGAGCCGGTGGATGACAGAGCGTGGTCTTGGGGAGGAGACAGAGGAAACGTGGTCTGGGGGTGGAAACAGAGGGAAGGATCTTGTTGAGAGCTGCAAGGAAGGTGGAGATCCATGATTGCCTACGCCCTGAAATGACAAGGCACATAAAAAGAAAAGAATTCTTTATAGTAGTTTTTCTCATATTCTCTAACAGTCGATAACCACTTGAGCGCTTATGGCTTTCCACGAATTATGACTTTATTATCTGTGAATTGTCATTCATTCCATGGTTTAGAATTCAGAGTTTTCTTTCTATTAGACTGCTTAGTATTTCTGCTTAGAAAACCTCAATTCTTACTTACCATGATGAATAAACACAGATTCATTGCTTTTTGAAATTGAATGCAGGATATTAGGCAGCAATTTAAACGTAGCTCTTTGAGGACAGCTTATTACTGATTATAATAACTTGGAATATTACAAGTTATTATAAGTAATAAGCTGTCCTCAAAGAGCTACGTTTAATTTGCTGCCTGACGTTCGCTCTATATAAGGACCAAGATATATTCAGGGTTCAGACCTATTGATGAAGTATTGCGAAGCCCTAAGTGAAAGTTCATAAGGATATGTAAGAAAGATAATATTTATTCCTAAACTTGAACAGGTAAAGATTGTAGTGTTCGGAAAGCATCTTCTTGGGAGTCGGTTCTATGTATCGGCACGTGGGAAAACGCTGTTTGAGTGTAAGATAATTCTACTAACTGAAATGTATGATATGTTAGCTTTATCTCTGTTATTGAGCGCTTTCTAATAAGTACCGCACATATAATATATAAAAAATTATATATATATATATATATATTTATTTATTTATTTATTTATATTTATATACACACACTTTTCACATACACACACACACACACACACACACACACACACACTCACATATATATATATATATATATAAAAGATTTTGTAGCCTACCTACGGACGATAATGGGTACGTCTCCATTCATATAAATATAGTAGTAAATACTGTATGTTGGTCTGCAGTTGGAGATTCCCAGACGAGGCTATGTCGAATGGCAGAGCTTCGTCTCGAGAAACAGCTAACCGACCCCATTTTATACGGGGTCTACGGAGAAATTTTGGCCGAGCTTATGAGCTCGGATTCCCCACATTATATTCGGCCTGATGCCACATCTGACCACGTGGGGCGTTTGGTAGATATCCTGCAGTTGTAGATTCATTGTGGAATTTACCTGACTAACTTCTAGGAGTTGACTACTTCTAACCGCCGCTAGCGAATCTTATATGTGTTGTTCTTGTCCTAAATATTATCGTTCATTACCAACCTTCGTGTGATTATTCTATTGAGGAACCTTCTGTAGGGTACAGCAATAAAGGTAACAATTCCGTTGGCATATAATCCAAGGGGTTCCTAGTATTATAAAATATTAAACCTATACACAAAAATAGCTCAATGTATTTATTATTATAGAGCAAATATTTAATAAACAATAAAATCCATAATCTCCACATATGGGGAATAGTCTATATCAGCAGACGATGATATCGGTTGTAGATCTTATCAACCCCGGTGTTTAGTGGGTTCCTGTCAGAAATAGAAATTTAAGTGTGAAAGCTGAAAAAAAAAGTCGAAAATGTAATACAGAATTTATCCATTTCAATGTTTCAATCAGAAGAAAGGGAAGAGATTTTATTCTATTTTATTGTTTTATATATATATATATATATATATATATATATAAAAAGACATTTTTATATTTACATTCTTTTTTATAGATACAAGTATTTAAGTAAATGCTCTGTTTATAATAAACAGTATTAAATAACATTTACCGGCCTGAATGTCGAAAATTTTCATAAAAACTATTCGTCCTTTGACAGGATTCGAACCTGCATTCTATAGGGAACCGTCATTTACGCTGACGTGCCTAACCTTTCGACCGCCAAGGAGCGTTCGGCAGACAAGGTCGAATTTACTGCTTCTTTTCCGTATAGGATGCAGGTTGGAATCCTGTCAAAGGACGAATATTTTCTATGAAAATTTCTCGGACATTCAGACCGGTAAATGGTATTTAATACTATTTATTATAAACAGAGCATTTACTAAAATACTGTATCTATAAAAAGAATGTTAAAAATAAAAATGTGTTTAATAAATTGTCAATTTCTTAAATATATATATATATATATTGTCCATTATATATATATATATATATATATATATATATATATATATATATGAGATAAAAAATATACGTTTAAGGCATGCTATATTTATGGGTAAAGGTGATAAATATCAGGGATAGAGCGTATGTAAATAAGAAAGTGGACATTGAGGTTAACTGCGAACTGCAACAGATCGAACGCAATCTGCAGACTTCAAAAAAAGAAACAAACAAACACATACACAAACACATTCTTATAACTAGTTTCAATGACTTTCGTTTCCTTCAGTTATGCGCAAAAGCAATTACTTTTTTTAATACACGCATTTAATTGTCGTTTCTTTTAAATTCATTGTTTTGTGTACATTATTTTTACCCGGACTTCCAGGAGATCGTAAATATTTACTAAATCAATGAGCCCTTCTTGCATGGATTATTGCTGTCATATATGGATTGGTGTTCCCGCTGCACGTCTCGAAGTCCTCGACAAAATCCAGAGACGAATATGCAATATGATAAGTTCTTATCTGGCATCTAGTCTACAATTGCTTTCCAACATACGTGCCATGGCTTCCCCCTGTCTCTTCTACAAGTATTTCCACGGAAACTGTTCCGACAAGCTACTTTCGCTGCTTCCCAGACTGAATAAATTTAAGCAAGCTACTAGGCTGGCATCTCGGTCCTACACCTTCACTGCCAAAACGATTAAATGTAACCGTCTCTTCTACTCAAACAGCTTCTTCTCTCGCACTTCCAATCTGTGGAACTTCCTTCTCCTTACTTGATTCCCTGATTATAATTTTCAAATATTCTAAAACTAATAAAAGATAATATAAGCATTTTCCTTAGTGTATGAGTTCAAAAAGACAGGTGAAATTTTATAAATGACAGCTTTTTCCAATACAAATGGGATTATGGCAATTCTTTTTTTTGTTATCTTTTATTACGGTTTTTAATTCAGTGTTGTTTTTCTCCTAAACTCGTTGATACACTAGTGAGTAATTTCTATCTCGCTATTTAACCCATAGCTGGGGGACATTCCCAGTTGCTGAAATGATAAATGGAATTAAACAGATTAGATTTGGACTTTGGAATTGACTCGCAGAGAAGAATGATGCTGACTGTACATCTTTTGATTACAAGAGTAAAATATGAAAGATTCAGAATGAGGCGAAAGAAGAAGAAGAAGAAGAAGAAGAAGAAGAAGAAGAAGAAGAAGAAGACAGGCAGGTTCATTGGTTTGTACCAATCTAGGTGAAAAAGCAAGAACTTTGGAAAGCCCTGAAAGATAACTCACGGAATCAACCACAACAAATAATGGTTCACTTTCATGTTAAGAGTTTTCACCCCACTTGTTTTTTTGTTTTTTTCAGCCGGAGTCGGGGGTGTTGGGGGGGGGGAGGTTGTTCATTTTCGTTCCACCAACTTTTATTTTCCCGGAATTCCTGCTGATTTTAGTCAAAGATCAAAGTTCAGTTTTATGCAGAAAAAATATATTTTCAGCTTATTTCCTCACACGCAACAAGATCACAAGACGTTTATTTGTTTTATTTTATTGTATTTTATTTTTTGTGCACACTTGATCTTTTAGCCGCAACAGTAATAAAACACCTGCGATTTAAGAACATGAAGTCAAGTAATATCACCTAAGCGCGTCTAATTGCTGCGAATGGCATTGAAATATTTCAGCTTCTTGTAAGAATTATCCCGTCTTAGATTTTTGTAGCATTCACGATAACACGAAAATATTTCAGCTAAAAGATTCCGTAAATTGCAGAGCACACTAATCGATATGGCTTAGAAGTCGACCTCAGGATTTTCAACTCAGATTTCTAAGTTAGGCCTCTACCTACCATATAGGTTAACCCTAACCATACAGTAGGTTACCAGTATCCCAAAACGTAGACATACTGGTAAATTTAAGTAACCCTGGAACACGAACTATCAATTAAGTCGACACCACTACTAACCAAGGTTATATCATACCCGATTTTGAAAATATCAAAAAATATATTAAATATAAATTTTTATTTAAAATATTTTACATACAGGCACTTCAAACTTTGTACTTTGAGTTAACATTAATAATAACTTAAAAAATATTACTTATGTCCGAAAATCAGGTACTGAAAATTGTAATTAAAAATAGGAAAATTTGCGCAGGGTACTATATACCCATTGTTAGTGTTCTAGAGTTAAGCTACTCTATATGATAACCTGTGCAAAATCTATATAACGTCACATCACGTACATGTACATTGAGACACTTACCGTTATATGTCCCTGTGTGCGTTGTATAGGTACCATATATTGTATAGGTATAACTTAGTAAACTTTTAAAATTCGTCAGGTCTGCTGGTAAATGCATTAAAGTCAATATCAACTCCTGTAAAATATTAATACCGTACATTACACTTTATACCAGGTACTTTTATTGATAGTACTGCTATGTAATTTAAAATCACACTATCGGCGATCTGCCATTTGCATCAGTGACGTAAGCAACAAGCTACCAACATCATGCAGCGAACTGCAAATTTCTGTAATATGCCAAATATATTCACCAACCATAAGTTTTAATAGGATATATTTTAGTAGCCTACTGGAGGTAAGATGAGTTATGAACACTAGGAGTAGTATCTCACTTGTTTACAACTCGCTGGTAAACGTTTGTATTTTATACCAGCCATATAAGTCGACACCTATTTTTAGAAATATTTTTTTTTAGGATTAAAACAGTCGACATGCACACCGAAATTTTATTTAAATCAAAACCTTTATTAATTCTAAAAAATCCATATAAATATATAATAAACATTTGTCATTATATTTCTGTGTTCCGTTTCATTTCTAGACATGGATAATCATAGTTGTCCACAATTTCCTATCCTTTGTAGATCTTAAGCAATGTTGTCTTTTTCTTATCTCTTCTAATCCATTATCTGTCAACCATTTACACCAGCTAGCTAGATTATCCCCATGCTTCCTCTGTACATTTTGCCTTCAATATGTCCTGTGAGTGTCAAATTCTCCAAGCACTCTTTCTGCTATATGAGCCATAGAAATTTCAAATGTATATTTCTGATATTAAGCATTTCCATTTTCTCTAAAACTTCATTGTTACTCACTTGTTCTGTCCATTCTATTCTCAGCATCCTTCTGTAGAACCACTTTTCTGTTGATTCAAGTCTATTCGTCGTCTATGCTGATATTTTCCAGCATTTGCAAGCCTGTAAAAGGGCCGATATTACATAAGAGTTCAGTGCCCCTATTCTTTTCTGCTGCTGGAATTTTCCTGTTTCTTAATAGTTTGCTTAGCATTTGGGAGGCATCATTCTCTATCCCAATGCGCCTTCGGATTTCATTTTCGAATTTTCCGTTATGTTTTAAAACACTTCCTTGGAATTTACAATTTGGGACTTGTTGAAGTTGCTGCCTCCAATTTGCAATTCGCATGTTGGGCTGTGCCTCTTGCTAGCAACCATATATTGTCTTCTTGCAATTGGTGTCTAATATTTTTTCTCGATATATTTTAAATAACCTCCAGTCCACCTATATGAAAATACGATATCCCGTAGAAAAGGGAAAATAAGCAGATGTTGGCGGGGAGTTTTCACTGGTCCGTGAATTGACTAATCAGCATCTAGCGAGAACACGTAAAATACAAAGAGGTTCTTCTTCTAGAAATTCTTCAGTTAAAATAACGCTTATCATAACCTCCATTTCTTCCTAAAAC